TGGAGGCTACCAATCTCGAATCATGGGAAATATTTCCATCTCTGATTATCTACGGGTGAAAGATAACTTTGTCCCATATATAAATACAAATGCATGTGTAAGCAAAAACTTCCAAAAATACCCATTTTAGCTAAATAAAGGCACTTTTTTGATAGAGCTCACGTCGGCACACGGTGCCCAGTTCACCATCCAGTGATGGAGCGACAGTCCAGTGATGCAGGCAAAGCAACATTCAGCAAGTTTGGCGTCGACGCACTACCCTCTCTCCACCTTGTGCCGACCAGACGCTACGGTGGCCGTAGTGCAGCCATGCGCCAGCTTCGTGTCGTGCTGCTAGTTGGCTCTGCTATTTCTAATTTCGGTGTGGGGGCACATATAAACGACCAGAGCTCCACCTCCACAAGATTCCTACAAGCCCCAGAACTCGCAGCCCATGATGCTACAACATACAGCAATGGATACGAAGATAGAGGTGTCACTAATTCTGGCGTCGAAATGCTTAAAATCGCGCTGAAATCGATAGTACCCGAGAGTCAACTGGAAATATTGTTCAAGCACGCAGCATCAGCCGACGACGTCTTCAAAATCCTCTTGGCCGATAACGCAGCCGACGATCTTCTAAATGCTTGGCTCAACTACATGAAGCACATTAACCATGCGAATACTCTAAAAAAGACGAGTTTGATCGCGACATTAACAGCTCACTACGGTGATGATGGAATGGTGAAGATTATTGAAGCAGCAAAGCAGGTGCCTTCTACAGCGACCATCGCGAAGCGTCTGGAGAGCGAACTGACGCAGTTTTGGCTGGGTCAAAAATACTCTGTCGACGACGTATTTAAATTGTTAAACCTGGAAAGAGCGGGGGATCAGCTTTTCGTTAAGCCAGAAGTAGTCGCGTGGGTAAGATACGTGGATGATTTCAATGAGTTGAATCCGGACGGACAAGTGAGTTTATTCTCGTTTTTAACAACTTTCTACCCCAAAGAAGAAATGCTGGTCAGTATGCTTATTGCGGCGAAAAAATCTCCAATTACGGAGAATATCGCTGTGCGGATTCAAGGTGAACAAACCAAAACGTGGCTCGCTGACAAGAAATCCCCGGCTGATATCTTCACTTTATTAAAACTAAAAGAGGAAGGAGCTCTTCTGTCCAGTCCACTATTTAAGAGTTGGCTCAAGTACACGGACGAGTACAACATGATAAACTGGGACGAAAAAGTCGTGTCCATCAAGACATTGAGGAAACATTACAGTGACGATGTCCTGGCGAAGATGATCGTAACAGCGGGTAACTCGCCCAGTACGGAAAATTTGTCAAGAAGACTGCGTTCCGAGCTACTACGCGAGTGGTACGACACGCTTAAACCCGGTGATTTCGTCTTCAAAGCGCTGAAACTCGAGAGAACGGGGTTAAAAGTGTTCGAACGATCCCTCTTTCCTCTTTGGAAGCAATATGTTGAGTTTGTGAGTTTGAAAGACCCGAGAATTAAGGTGAATTTCGTCTCTCCGCTCATCAAGGTGTATGGCGAGAGAAAACTGACGAGGATCCTCACTGCAGCTGAGAATGTCCCAAGCACGAAGAAATTTGCTACAGATCTACTAGACGCGTTGCTCAAGCGCTGGCTGAGCGAGAAGAGAAATCCTAAAGACGTTTTCTCGTTGCTACGTGTCGAGGGAACGGCAGCAGATGACGCCAGCAGACTGCTCTATAATAAATATATCGAGGACTTTAAGGCTATACTCTAGTAGCCACTTGTAATAAAAACTAGAATAAGAACAAAAAATTACGTGTTAATGGATCAAGATAGCGCGTAAGCCTTGAAGAATTTATGGTAGAGCTGCCTGCTGGGATCATTGTCATCAACTATTCGATCCAAGCGTAGCAGAGAATAAATATCCCGCCAGCTCCTGTCAGCTTCTAGCCAAACGTCGACCAGTTCGTCCTCTAGTTTCGTGGTCATCTCCTTCGTTTTGGGGTTCTTGTTACCCGCTCGGAGAACTTTTACTAGGTTGCTTTCGCTGTAGACCTTGAGCAAGTTCGTGAGTATACTCACCTTGTGTTCAGGTTCTGCAGCACTCAAATAAGTCGCATACTTGGTCCAAACGGTGTACAGTGGGCTTTCAAACGATTTCACCCCTTCACTGTAGAGATTCAGAGCATTGAAGACATCTTTTGGGGTAAATTTCTGGACATACCAGTTCCTCAATTGCTCAATCTCCAATCGCTTGGCAATATTCGCCGTACTCGGTGAGTTTAGAGCTTCAAGGATCATCCTGGTCAGGTTTTCGTCTCCGTAATACTTCGTTAATGTCGCGATCGTTGTAAAATCTGTTCCGTAATAAATCTTACGGAAATCATCGGTATACTGAACCCAAGCGGTAAACAGCGGACTCTTGAAGATGTCACGGCCTTCTCGGTTAAGTCGCAGCAGATTGAAGACATATTCTGGTCGCTTCTCATCTTTTAACCACAACTTTGTTTGAACAGCTTGCACTTGTACAGCAATCTTCTCTGTACTCGGATTTTTCTTCGCTGCAATGAGCATTGGTACCAGCGTTTCGTCGTTGAAACGTGTCGCTAATGTAGAGAATAAACTCACTGGGTTGTCCGGGTTTGCCTTATTGAAATCACCCACATAGTTCGCCCACGTGACAACCTCAGGGTGCGTGAAAATCTTGTCTCCTGCCTTGTTCAGCTTTAACAATGCAAACACATCGTCCGGTGATTTGCCTTGAGTAAGCCAGAGCTGACGTTGTTCAGTCTGCAGTCGCTTAGCGAAAGTCGCTGTGCTTGGCACCTGCTTCGCTGCATCGATCATCTTGACCAGAGCTTCATCACCGTAATGAGCCGTGAGCGTTTTGATCAATGACGTCTGCTTTTTGGGATTGGCTTTGTTAAAAAGCTTCATGTAATGGATCCATTCTGTTAATTTCGAGTTGGTCAGGAGACCTTCTGAAGGCTTGTCGAGCGTTAGCAACTTGAAAACATCGTCGGTAGATGTTCCTTTTGCGAGCCAGTCGTCAAACTGAGTGCTTGTCGACTTCAGTGAATTGGTGACTGTTTCCACGGCGGATCCACTGGCGACTCTTTCTTCATCGTGAAAACCTTCATCAATATTATTCGTAGTCTTATAAGCTCGCAATACCCTCGGGTTACTATGGATTTCAGCGGGTGTGATCGAATGTATCTTCGTTTTCGATTCAGCTTGAGCATTGCACGCTAGTGTGACGGTGATCAACAGGATGAACCAGCGACAACGCATGGTTGCGGGGTTTGAGAGATAATCTGGAAGTGATAGCGAGACAAAGTACGCCAAACAACACAACGGGAAATGAGGCAATGGTTCTGCATTGCTCCCGCAACCATTGCGGTACACCAGACGAATCACTGGATGGTGAGAGATACAGCGAGTTACAATGCTATGAGCGGTACTCATTGTAAATCCGACGGTACCAATTCTTCTTGGGCGGTGCATTCTTGGGGCCCCCAGTGCTTTGCCACTTTACCTTCGTAATACGCATGCCTGAACTGTTCAGCTTGCCTTTAAATAAGGTCTTATTGTATTTGAAAGTATTATTACCAGCAACGTTCCCGAACCGATCTGCGCACAAACAGTCATATTTTGGTGGTGGACATATCTTCACAAAGCTCGTTCGGGAAAGGTTATTGAAAATCTAACGCCCAGGATATTTTCTCAAGATGTATTGTGGTTTCACGTGGTTGCTGCGCCAGACTGGGTTCATAGAAGAACCAATTTGAGGCTTTTGGCAAGCGTTGGCTCGTAGCTTTCAGCGAGCCTTGGTGGGTGCTGTGGAGCGATTAAGTACATTAATGAAAAGGCTACCTAGTCCTTCAGACTGCACAAGATTAGCATAACGGAGAAAGGATCAGCGTCGTTGTCTTTTCAAGCTGGAACTAAATTGGTGCTATGTACAGTTCCAAGCCTTATTAGGCTTTTAATACGTACCACTAAACCATTATTAAGGACCTCAGATGGCGGAGCAGCAACACGTGCCTCTATCCGTTTTGCCAAAACGGATGGCCCGAGATCCAATATATCAGACCCGATTTGCTGAACCCCTTCGTTTAGAACTTCGCGGACAAGTTACTGGGCACTCAGAATTGTGAAGGTTGTGTCAAAGCTGCCGCTTTTGGACGGCAAAAGTGATTTTCTCGAAACAATTTGCTATGACACCTCCTATCAACGATTATCCATAATGTAACTGTCATAAGCGGTTATAATATCGTCTTACATGACAATCGTGCTACAGTACAGTATGCATACATTAAGTGGGTATTTACTCCTCAACAGCCTTTATACAAAACTCGCCCGTAGTCGCGGAAGGCATGATCAACTGGGAATGACGTCCCACTGATCATTAAGCCCATCAAAATTATCTAAATCGGACCTACTTACCCTACGCTTTGTCCGTTTTACTTAAATCGGCCCCGAAATAATCCAGCAAATCGGGAGGCAAAATTGATAAAAAAAAATAAACCGCAATACATTTTGTAACAATTTAGTTCAAATTACTAGGCGATGTTTTCCTTTTTTTGGGCAGTCGTGCAAAGGCCCTGCTGTAATTATCGTAAAGCACCCTCCTAATATCATTCGCTGCTACGTCCTCCACGCGCAACAGAGAGAAAACAGTCCTTGGATCCGTCTTGGTTTTCAACCAATGCTCGAGTTGGTCGTCCAGTAGCTGCTTTGCTAAGTTTTTCGTGTATGGAGCGTCCCATGCGTTAAACAGGATTGTCAACAGATTGTCCTCGTTGTAGTATTCCCTAAGTACTGCAAAATGAGTCATATCTTCTTTCGGTCTCAGACCCTTGTAGTGAACGACGAAATTTGACCAAACGTAGTAAAGTGGGTTTTCAAACAGTGGAGTTATGGCATCGTCAAGCCTTAGCAGCCCGAATACTTCCTCCGGATTAAAACCTTCCAAGTACCAGCTCCGCATTTGTTCTGTAAACAATCGTTTCGAGATATTCGACGTACTTGGAGACCTAGCAGCCCGAATAATCATCAGTGCTAGGACGTCGTCTTCATAATAATTATGCAGCACCGAGACTGTCGTGATTTTCGTTCCATAGTGAATCTTGCTAAAGTCTTCCGTGTACTTCATCCAAGCAACAAATAGTGGATTCTCCAAAAGCGAAACATCTACGTCATCAAGTTTCAGCAGCTTGAAAACAACGCCCGGATTCTTTCCCTTTTCCAGCCAAAGTGCTGTCTGCTCGGCTTGAATTCGAGTTGCAATTTTCTCCGTACTCGGAACATTCTTCGCTGCTATGAGCATATTGACGAAAACATCTTCGTCATAGCGAGACTTCAGGAACGAGAACAAAGTCGTCGCACTGGTCGAGTCCGCCTTGTTGAAATCGTCCAAGAATTTCGCCCACGTGACAACCTGAGATTGGGTGAATAGAGATTCTCCTGCATCGTCAAGTTTTAGCAGTGTAAATATACTCTCTGGAGTCTCCCCAGCAAGCAACCAACGTTGGATCTGCTCGGTCTGCACTCGCTTGGCAAGACCTGCAGTAGCTCGGACCTGTTTCGCTGCTTCAATGATTCTCGCCAAACCTTCGTCCCCGTAGTGTTTCGTGAGTGTATCTATCACCGTTGTTCTCTTTGTTGGGTTCACCTTGTTAAACCTCTTCATGTAGCTGATCCATTCGTTCAGGTGTGGGCTAGCTAGAAGCCCGTTCGCAGCTTTGTCGAGGGTGAGTAACTGGAAAACGTCGTCTGCGGATTTCCCCTGGGTGAGCCAGTCGTCGAGCTGACTGACGGGGGATCTTAATGTGCTTGGGAGAGTTTCAAGGGTAGAAGCACTAAAACCCCTCTCTTCGACAACGTTTGCGCCCTCGTCGGCAACACTATTAAGGTCATTAAGTCGATTCCTGGCCTTGAAATGGTGGCTCCTAAGAATCCGGTTCTTGAAGGCATCTCGCCTGCCGCTCGTGATCGACCGAGAGCGAAGGGTGTTCGACGGCAGCACCGTTGATTTCAAGACAGCATCAGTATTTGCGAGCAGTACGGCGGAAGCAAGTACTACCACCAGCCGGCAGCGCATGAGGCACGCTACCGCGTAGTACACGGGGTGAGGGGCTGAGAGAGAAAGTTACAGAGTGAAACGGTCAAACTGCATAGGATATCATTTGATGGGGAGAAATCCG